ACTGTTTCCCCACACTCCAAAGAGCATATGAGTATAAACTGCTTCTCGATTATCCAACTGAGTACAATGTTAAACCCGGTTTCTTTCTTTCACGGGAAGTTCCTGGAGAGCGCTATGCATAGTACTCTTAAGGATAACCCGATCATACAGCTGAATATAATGATAAACCCAGTTTCATAAGAAAAGCTGGGGGTGGATGGTTCATGTAACGGGAAGTTCTCGGAAGAATACTATATGTAATTTTTTTAGGGATAACCCGATCATTACGAACAAAGTGATAAACACTACATCACCACAATGATTTTCGAATACTCTTTTGCTGAGATGAGATTCAATCACTTTTTTAGATCAATCTTCCCTCACAAAACTCCCATTTGGTCAAACCTTTAAACAGTTAGGACCAAAGCCAAAATCCCCTCTCGATTCCTTCCATGAACGAGAGGTCCACAAGTTGAACGATCAAACCTTTAAACAGTTAGGATTGTCTCAAAACTCTCACTCGGTCAAACCTTTAAACAGTTAGGACCAGAGCCAAAAATCCCCTCTCGATTCCTTCAATGAACGAGAGATCCACAAATTGAACGATCAAACCTTTAAACAGTTAGGATCGTCTCAAAACTCCCACTCGGTCAAACCTTTAAACAGTTAGGACCAGAGCCAAAAATCCCCTCTCGATTCCTTCAATGAACGAGAGATCCACAAATTGAACGATCAAACCTTTAAACAGTTAGGATAGTCTCAAAACTCCCACTCGGTCAAACCTTTAAACAGTTAGGACCAGAGCCAAAAATCCCCTCTCGATTCCTTCAATGAACGAGAGATCCACAAATTGAACGATCAACCCTTTAAACAGTTAGGATCGTCTCAAATTCCCATTTTTGGTCAAACCTTTAAACAGTTAGGACCAAAGCCAAAATCTCCTCTTGATTCGTTCCATGAACGAGAGGTCCACAAATTGAACGATCAAACCTTTAAACAGTTAGGGTCGTCTCAAATTCCCCTCTTGGTCAAACCTTTAAACAGTTAGGACCAAAGCCAAAATCTCCTCTCGATCCGTTCCATGAACGAGAGGTCCACAAATTGAACGATCAAACCTTTAAACAGTTAGGATCATCTCAAATTCCCATTTTGGTCAAACCTTTAAACAGTTAGGACCAAAGCCAAAACCTCCTCTCGATTCGTTCCATGAACGAGAGGTCCACAAATTGAACGATCAAACCTTTAAACAGTTAGGATCGTCTCAAATTCCCATCTTGGTCAAACCTTTAAACAGTTAGGACCAAAGCCAAAATCCCCTCTCGATTCCTTCCATGAACAAGAGGTCCACCTTTGATTTGCGCAATCAAACCTATAAAAGTTAGGATTGCTTCTAATCTTATTCAGATTCTCTGAATAGAAATCCCACTTCAAATTTCCTTTGTACCAGGAGATAGGATATAAAATTCTTCCTCTCCGATTCTGGGTTCATCTCTACCAACAAACAAGAGACCAGGAGATAGAATATAAAATTCTTCCTCTCCATCATCGGGTTCATCTCTACCAACAAACAAGAGACCAGGAGATAGAATATAAAATTCTTCCTCTCCATCATCGGGTTCATCTCTACCAACAAACAAGAGACCAGGAGATAGAATATAAAATTCTTCCTCTCCATCATCGGGTTCATCTCTACCAACAAACAAGAGACCAGGAGATAGAATATAAAATTCTTCCTCTCCATCATCGCTATTCTACAAAGCACTGAATAGACTGAGAGACAAAGAGATCAAGTGTTGAAGCCATCTACAGGTTCTTCTATACGATCTACCCAACCAAGCATGGAAAGGATCATAAGTAAGACCTATCTTATCCAAAGCATCCCCAGACTCTTCTATAAAAGAATGCGTCTAGAATACTTTGGAGGGGGTATCTGTAGGCGTCAAAAAATGCTAATAGATATCCCAAACATAGAGAAAATCACTCAAATGGATCTCATATTGAAAATCAAAGCAGAAATGAACTGTCTCGCCAGCGAGACAGGCTTTGCTGTCGCGCCAGCGAGACAGGCTTTGCTGTCGCGCCAGCGAGACAGGCTTTGCTGTCTCGCCAGCGAGACAGGCTTTGCTGTCTCGCCAGCGAGACAGTATTTGCTGTCTCGCCAGCGAGACAGGCTTTGCTGTCTCGCCAGCGAGACAGGCTTTGCTGTCTCGCCAGCGAGACAGGCTTTGTGTCTCGCGGGTCGAGACAGCAAACACTGTCTCGCCCAGCGAGACAGTAAACACTGTCTCGCCATACTAATGTCGTCATTTGTTGAGTTTTTTCAGTTGCAGACCCTTGAGGCTATAAATACCCCCCTAGGGTCACTTCTGACGAGAATCGAGCATTTTTACGAGCATTCCAGAGCAATCCAGAGCAGAGAGAGAGCAGAGTTCTTGAGCTTTTGGCAACTCCTTGATATTCAGGCTTTGACTTGATTTCAAGAAGAACGACTATCTTACCTTGATAAGATATCGTTTCAAGTTCTCACTTCGATAAACGAAGTCAGAATCATAAACCCCTCACGATTCGATCAGAATCTGTGATTTGGTGGTCCACGGGCTAACGCACCCCCGGCACAGGCAAAGATCCCACGCAAGCAGTGATCCAAATAACGATTCTGCGTTTGTTTCCCAAGAGTTGTAATTTTCATTTTGTTGTGTAAAAGGAGTCTTATAAAAAGGCTATCTCTTTTTTTGAATTTATTGTAATCGACCGAAGATATAATGAATTCCATGACAAAACTAACTTTTGACGAAAACAGATGCTACTTCACGTTGGGTGGATATTACTCTATATACTCCAGATCATACTGCATCGTTGGGGATTCTAGCTGAGGTGACACAGGTTGGGAATTATTTGGATTTGGATGCAGATGATGGATTAGTTTTGGATTCGGTTGTAGCTGGTGGACATGATTTGGATATAACCATTGGTTCACCTTAGTTGGAGGTGTTTAATTTGTTTCAGTTTGGGGCCATTGGGAGCGCTATCAGTTGTAGATTCATTGGTGATATTAGTGAAGAGTTGCAGACTTTTCTATTTATTTAAGGGTCTTTGGAGACCGTTTGGGTGAACTGCGTGAATGCTTGATTCCTTAGGCAAGAGGATACATAAGCAGTCTTTATGATGCAGCCGATTTGATGAGTATATACCGATGTTTGGAGAGTGTTCGCATTCTTATTTGGGTCTCGACTTGTTGTGGATTGAGTCTGTTGTCGTGAATCGTTTCACTTCATACTAGACGCAACAAGTGAGGAATTTGGTTTGGTTAGTGTCAGCTCAGTTTTGAGAAAACTTCGCCGATGCGGAGATTTGTGAAGAAATCAGAGATTTGGTCCAGATTGTGTAGATTCTGTGTCATAAGTCGATTCATGCACAGACATAAGTCGACTTATGGTAAGTCGATGGTAAGTCGACTTACGTTCTGTTCCGGAATTGTTGGTTTTGGCTCTGTCAAGTCGATTTGTGAAGCCTGTTAAGTCGACTTGTGGTAAGTCGACTTACGATTTGTTCTTTAGTTGTTGTTTTTCTCTTTACCAAGTCGACTTATACACCCTATTAAGTCGACTTATAGTGGGTTTTCTGCACAGTTAGAATTCCTATTTGGATTCTATTTGGGTTTCTGTTTTGGTATAAATAGGAACACGATTTTGAGGGTTTGTAAGGTTTGAATTAGGGATATTTGGAGCACAGGAAAGATGTATTTTCTGAGCTATTTGATTAGGGTTTATTTGGATAGATTAAGAGCTTTGTTGGTGAGATTAGTTTGTTCATTCGAGTGATTTGTAATCTCAATTTGTACTCTTCTTCTCTATTAATGAAAACCCCATCCCCTTCTTACCCCGTGGACATAGGAAACTTGCCGAACCACGTTAAAATTGGTTTGTTTGTGTTTGTGGCATTGATTTGGTTGATTTGGCCTTTATCTCGATGTTTGGTATTTGGTTTCTCGAAGCACGTTTGGTTGTTTGGCTTCTGCACAGTGCACAACACCTCCTCCTCCTCCTCCTTCGATATGATCCCCGAGCCCGCAACCTCTATGTTCAAATGGACTACCTCCTTCAAGACCCCGATTTTGATCGGATGGGCTCAAGTGAATCTGCATAATCTGACACTTATTTGAACAATGTTGCATAAATCAGGATAAACGTAGGGTAAAATTCAGAGATTGAACAAACTTCGAGGGCGTCCTGCCACTGTTTCCTCTGAATCTTATCAGCTAAGGTTTCAATAACAGTAAGGACCCAAGCTTTGGCCTCCGCTCGATCCTCAATCTTCTTCTTAACATTTTTGATCGCCCCCCTTCTCGAGGGAAGAGCCCCCTCGGTGACCCCTGGGAACTCTCCCTCCTTCCAGTGCTTCTTCCTCGGCGTTGCCGACGGTAGCTGCGGCGGCGGCGGCGAAGATCGTTTCGGAGTGAGTGTTCGAGATCTGGATGTAGAAGAAGAAGAACTTGATTCAATTCACATGTTGTTGGTTTTGAGTCCATAGCAATCAGTGGACTCAAACATTTGGTGGGTCGAGTGATATAATAACTTGAATAAATTGATTCAATTCACATGTTGTTGGTTGAGGCTTGAGTCTATAACAATACTTGAGTTGACATGAACTAAAGGGAAATAAAGTTCGTTAAGAAGGTCACCTTGATTGATTTGTTCAACATTACATCATATTAGAATCTCTACAGATTACGTCAATAAGAGTTCTGTACAAGTCACTTGTGAGTTTAGAGCTTTGGGGTAAACCATTGTATTTTCTCATTTATCCTTTTTTTGTTTGAGAGTATTGTGTGGTGTTTGACTTAGGTGGTTATTTGGCCATCTCTTTCATTTAATTCAGGCCATTAGACTTTTCCTTTGGGTTTAGAAGTCAAGGGCAATAATTGAAAGAGGGACCCAAAAAATTTAACAAACAGACTGAAACAGTCTTAAGCGTTCAGCATCTCTATAACAAGAAGCAAACCTCAATCTCGATCCCTCTTCAACAAAAAGAAGAATAAAAAAAAAGAGACCAACCATGCATAGTGTTTCCTTCAATTTAGATTCAGACCAAGCCCGACTCCATGAACTCGGCTACAAACAGGAGCTCAAGCGCCAACTCTCGTAATCCCTCTCTAATTCTCTATTTTCTTGTACATTTGCTTTAAATTATCCAGTAAATCAAGAACTACTTTCTTGATACACCAACTATCTGGTAAACAAAAACTATTTGAAAGTTTTCGAAATTATCTTTGACTTATGAATTCTTCCCTTTTCATATTTATTTATTTGTTAAAAGATAATTCATCAATACATCTCCGTTACAGTATGGTTAGTACGTAAGAAACTGTCTATCGTTGAATGAGTGTAGAACATGACATAACTCGTTTCAGCAGTTTTCTTCTCTTGAGATACCAATTAACTATCGATTAGATATGAACTATTAATAGTACTAAACCTTTCCTTTTTTCCAGTGTGGTGTCAAGCTTTGCCTTCTCGTTCTCATTCATATCGGTTCTGGCGGGGATTACTGTGACATACAACACCGGACTCAGGTATGGGGGGCCCCTGTCGATGGTCATCGGGTGGATCGTGGTGTCGATCTTCAATGGGTTTATCGCGCTTTCGATGGCCGAGATTTGCTCGGCGTTCCCGATTTCTGGTGGGCTGTACTACTGGAGTGCTAAGCTAGCAGGGAAGGAGTTTGGTCCCTTTGCTGCTTGGATCACTGGATGGTATGTACTCAGGAAAGGCTTCATGTTTCTTGTTGACTTTCATTTTGAAGCAACCTGATGCAAACAGACTCTGAGGACAAAATATTCGGAGCAATCAAATGGTTCAAACATTTTGACCAAGATACCCCTAATGGAAAAAAAACACCCTTTCATGTCCTTTTTTTTAATAATTTAAAGGTAATTTTCACGAAAACCCCGTACGTTAGAGTTAGGGATTTAATTAATTCGATTATTGATTAATTTGATTTAATTTAATGGTTAGATTGTTAATTTGAAAAAGGTATTCTGGTTTTTTAAGGGTTCATCTACTACTGTTAACGGAGTTTAATTTTAAAAAATGGTAAATACTTGGGGCTTTTTGAGAAACCCTAAACTTAAGGGGGGTTAAGTGAAAATTTTAAAGTTTAGTGGAGTTATATCAAAACCGTTCAATTGTAAAGGGGTCTTGTGACGTTTTTAAACTTAGGGGTTAGCTCAGAAATAGACAAACTTAAAGGGGGTTATGTGAAATTTACCCCCGATAACTATCTAAGGGGTCTCTTGTGCTCACAAGCTAAGCCGGTTGGCTTAGATTGTCAAGAGCCACCTAGTCCAAAAGCCCAATTTTTTAGTTTGTTCTATACTAATTAATATATATCTGAATTCACATTAATTTATGTATCTATTAAAAAAAATCTTTGTACCAAACTTTGTGACTTCTTCCATGTTACTTTGTTTTTTTACAGGTTCAATGTAGTTGGCCAGGTAAACTCAAAATCGCCTTATCATCTTCATCATGGAGATCCAGTCTTACATTAAAAATTACAAATCCTTCAAAATTTGTGTCAGTGGGCAGGCACTGCTAGTGGAGAATTTGCATTTGCTCAGATACTTCAGGTCATCATTCTGCTCAGCACAGGAGGAGCCAATGGAGGAGGATACTTCGCATCAAAATATGTTGTAATTTGTTTCCATGGAGGTGTACTGCTAATTCATGGCATTATCAATTGCCTTCCCATCTCATGGTTATCGGTATTTGGCCGAATTGGTGCTATTTGGAATGCTATAGGTGAATATGTTCTCCTTTTTATGCAGTAAACATCAAAACTGTACTAATTCACATCTCTTCAATTATTCTTCTCAGGAATTTTTTAGGTGAACGTGGCTATTGTTAGTTCCATATCTACTGACTTCTATACCTGGAAATTTATGCATCTCTAAAATGATGGTTGTATCAGGTATTTTTCTGCTCATGATATTGATTCCTGCGGTAGCTACAGAAAAGGCTAGTGCCAAATTTGTGTTTACACACTTCAATACTGACAATGGTGCTGGAATCCACAGCAAGATTTACATTTTTGTTCTGGGACTCTTGATGAGCCAGTACTCGTTCGCTGGCTACGATGCAGCAGCTCACCTGGTAAGAGGGCTTGTCAATATGCTTACATACGAAATACATAATGTATGCATATTGCCTATGCATGCCTGTTTTACACGCACATACATATTTATATGTTTTAACCATGTATAATATTGTGTACGCTTATATGTAAGCTTTTATAATATTATTTAGATGTTAATTGCGGATAGACCCTCTAGAGGTCTATTGTTGCAGATAGACCCCCTGAGTGATTTTTTGACTATTTTACCCTCAGAAAAAGAGAAAAATGCTCCACTTTT